TCTCATATATGCAGGTCCACACAGTTGTGTCTCTTTCACGAGATGCACAACTAGATGTACCATTATGTCAAAGAATGACGGAGGAAAATACATTTCAAGCTCACACAAAGTAATAATTATATCTTTTTGCAATGTTGGTAAGATCGCAGGATCGATCACCTTACTACAAATAGATCTGAAAAAGAAACACAATTTTGTTATTGCGCCTCTCACTTTTTCTGGCAAAATAGAACGTATACCTATTGGTAGAAAGTGTTCCATAAGAACATGGCAATCATGTGTCTTTAAACTCTTTAACTTTAGGTCTTTCATAGAAACAAGTCTTCTAATATCTGAAGAGTATCCTTCTGGAACTTTAACTTCACTAAGAAACTTACACATTATCTTTTTCTCCTTTCTAGACAAAGTATATGCAGCAGGTGGTAGATAAGTGCGATTTCCTTTCTTCTGGGGTCCTAATTCATTTCTTATTCCCATTGCTACCAAGTCTTTTCTTGCTTTAAGGCCATCCTTAGACTTTCCTTGTATATTGAGTAACGTACCAATAACACTTTCAAATACATTTTTTTCAATATGCATAACATCAAGAAAATATCGTACATACAACGACTTCCAATACGACAACTCAAACAAAATTGACCTCTTCTTCCACCCACGCGTGGTAAGCGTATGAGCAAAAGGCTTGCCAAACTGAGTACTCACATCTTTCACCTTTGCAAAAATTTGATCGCCGGTCAATGTAGGTGGTGCTCTACGTTGTTATGAATTTCCATTGAATTCTTGTCTCCACCCACGGTACTGATGATTAGAACTTAAGAATCCACGATGACCAAGAAAGACATTCTTCTGACCAAATTCCAACCGCGTCCAATCTGTGTTTTCTTCACAGATAGGACACGCACATTGACCTTTAATGCTATACCCCGATAGATTTCCGTATGCTGGGAAATCATTAATTGTGCCAAACAACATGGCCCTCAAATTAAAACTTTCTTTCCTATATCCATCATAAACCTCCACACCGTTCTCCCACAAACTTTTTAAGTCTTCGATTAAAGGTGTCAGGTATACGTCTATGTCGTTTCCTGGTTGTTTAGGGCCAGAAATTAACATAGATAACATCATGTACTTACGCTTCATACATAGCCATGGAGGTAGGTTATAAATCATAAGAATTACAGGCCAGGTGGAATGGGAGCTACTTTGCAGACCGTGCGGATTCATTCCACCAGTCGATAATGCCAAGCGAAGGTTTCTAGCTTCTTCTCCAAAATCAGGATAATCATTATCAATTTTCATCCACTGTGGTGAATCTGCCAGATGTCGATACTTCCCATCTATAATTCTATCATCTGCATGCCAAGTGAGGTGTTTCGCATCTGTTTCACTACGAAACATGCGTCTGAATCTCGGAATTATAGGAAAATACCATAAGACTTTTGCTGGTGACAACTTCTTCTTATACCGAGATACACCGCATTTAGGACACTCGTTTAATGATGCATACTCATTTCGAAACAAAATGCAATCATTTGGACAAGCATGTATCTTATCATAGCTCATACCAATAGAGCATAACATTTTTTTAGCTTCATAGGTTCGATTGGGAAGAACATTATCCTCCGGAAGCATCTCTTGAAGTAGGGCTAACAACTCTGTGAAACTTTTATCCGACCATCCATTACCCGCCTTTAAGTTGTACAACTTTAATACCGCAGACAATCTTGTGAAAGTAGTGCAACCTTTATACAACGGCTTCTCTGCATCGCTTACCAACCTCTCAAACATCTTTGGACAATCTTTAAGATCTTCTTCAAGTGCTTCTGCAATATCTTCGACTCGATCACAATCGTATGTATCCCTACCATTGTCCTTTGAAGTAGAGGTCGTATTGTTCTGGGGTTCAACATTCTCGTTACTTATCTCACCGTGTAATGTCCAACATGTGTAACTTCGATCAATTCCATGTCTCATTAAATGAGATTCCAACTGAACCGCGTCAATTCGACGTCCATAACAGCAACCTAAGCAAGGACATGTGATCCTACTGGGGTCTTTGGCGTGTTCAACAGCAAACTTAACGAAGTTCGATACCCCATTCTCGTACTCTTTTGACAATCGATTAACAGACATCCAATTTTTATCCATACTATGAAAGTTAGGCAAAAACAGAGAATACCTGTAAAGAAATCACTACTTCTAAGAAAGTTGTACAAAAAAACTAGATAATTCAACAAAACAAATCATATTAAAAAAAAGTAGATATACTATAATAAACTATTCTACTATTAAAGCATACTTTCATTAATATGATTTTAAACTATTCTAAACTATTTTATAATGCTCAAAATGACATGGACTAAATTAAAGCATACTCTCATAAATGGTGGAAATGGACTAAATTATTCTAAACTATTCTAAACTATTTCATTAATATGATTTTAAACTATTCTAAACTATTAAATCATACTCTCAAAAATGGTGGAAATGGACTAAATTATTCTAAACTATTCTAAACTATTGCATTAATATGATTTTAAACTATTCTAAATTATTAAAGCATACTCTCAAAAATTTTGGTAATGGACTAAATTATTCTAAACTAATTTATAATGCTCAAAATTCATTGTGGCATTTCAACAAACACCTTGCATACAAAACTCAAGCCAATATCAAAAGAGTAATGCTCATCAATGGTATCAACAAAAACAAGTCAATAACTCAGAAAGAAGTAGCACTAACATCATCTAATCCAGAAAAATGCAATACTAAGACAATAATCCATAAAAATGCCGTAACAATCGCGGATTTACCGTAACGGTGGAGGAAAACGAACGGTGAACGGCGGCGAAAGGGAACGGCGAACGGCGGCGAAAACAAATGGAAGACGGCGGCGCAAACGGACGGTGACGAAAGTTTCAACGGAGGGCGAAAATGGAAGATAGGGCAATGGAGAAATGAAGAAACGAAGAAGAAAACGAAAAAACGCGTGTTCTGTTTCGTTTACAATTCTGGAGGGTATATAAAAATTATTATACTAATACCTTTAGCAGCGCTTTTTAAAGGCCTTTAGCAGCGCTTTTAAAAGCGCTTTCATAGGGTGCATTAGCAATGACATATAGCAGCGCTTTATAAAAAAAGCGCTCTCGTAGGGTCCCCTTTTAGCAGCGCTTTTAAAAAGCGCTTTCTAAGGGTCCCCTTTTAGCAGCGCTTTTTAAAAAAACGCTGTCTTTGGTAGGTAATTTTTTTCTTTTTTTTTTACTGACTATTTAGCAGCGCTTTTTTTAAAAGCGCTGTCTTTTGTGCGCTGCTAAAAATCAATTCTGACGTAGTGATAAGAGGAATCTTTTATCATAAGAAATAACAAGACAAAAAGCCTAAAAACATCACAACCAGAACCACTAAAAAAAGAGATACATCAAAACTAAGTAAAGAGAAAAGAATATTAGTAAGGATCCAGAAAAACTAGATCTCTCTAATCCAAGGACATCTGTATCAAAACCAAACAAAAAAAAAACATAACAAGAGCACAACCATAATAGTTTAAATGTTTCTCAATAAGAAAAATCACAATTAGAATTGCTCATTACTACTTAAGCATGGGCTTTTTACGCGCAGACACGGATCTAAGTAGAGGAAAATAGGGGCATGTGACTCCACTTGAATTTTTTAATAATAATAATAATAATAATAATTAGTTTTAATATATTGACCCCACTTAAGATTAGTTATTGTCCTCACACCACTCATTTAATTTAAATTTTAGGGAACATAAATTTGACTATTAATTTACTTTATTATTTTTTTAATTTTTTTAAGTAAATCCAATAAAAAATGACATGAGAAGATGAGAAATTGTATATCTTCTTATAATTAAAAATCAATTAGTACATTATTATAACATATTAGATTCATTTCTACCCTCTTTTTTGTCTCTTCTTTCTTCTGCACACTAGTACTTCTTTTATCTTTTTTTTTTCCTTCACTTGTCTACTATTTTTCTTATTATTTTCATCTTTTATTAAAGTTGTGTTAAAAGACAATAATTCAAGTAAATTTCTCCGTTTATTCTTTTTTTTTTTATGTATATTATATTATTATGTGTTATGATTTCATATTTTTTGTCTCATGTTTTTAATTTGAACCTTATACTTGTAGTTGTATTAGAATCAAATAACTAATTAGTGATATATTTTGTATGTGTTAGAAATAAAAAAAATATTTTATAAAAAAGTCAATATTAAAATCTTAACAAGTTAATGAAGTTAAAAATGTACCGACACAACAATTAGAGTCATCTTTTAAAAATGTTTTTTTAAATGTTGATTTAAATAATTTTTATAAAATTATAGCATAATATTTATATACTTTTTTATGAATATTTATATTATTTGATTTTGATATTTGTATACAAAAATTAAGTTTGACCCCACTTAATAAAAATTTTAGATTCGTCCCTGAACGCACCATTGTTAAAAGACTCTTTCGAAATAAAGAGTCAATCTCATTAAGGCAAATTTAATTCTTATGTCACTTGATCGACAGTTCTATAAAGCTTTAAAAAAAACAACCAATATATTAACTGATCAAAGAGTTTTAAAAAATCAGGACATCACATTTTCATTCAAAATCTTAAATAATAGTCTAAGAATTACTTTTCTTATATATTCAATATTTAACAAACTATCCAATTAAAGCAATTGTTTGTAAAAACAGTCACAAAGCATCCTATTACAGCGCTTATTGAATAAAGCGTTTTAATTGGTAAAGAGTCATTCTAGATGTCTAGTTAAAAAAATGACATATTAACAGAACCGATAAAGAGAAAAGGTTAATTGAAAAAATATCTAAGTTACTAGTTACTACAATAGATAGTAGAAATTCCTTGTCTTTAACAAACCATTATTTTTTCCCTATAAATATAGTCCAATTCTCCCCTTTCCTTCTCATCCATAGCTCAACATCTAAACATACAAAACATTAGTGTTTATTTCTTAACAATGGCTTTCAAGAAGCATAGTGCACTCATTATATTGCTTTCTCTTCTTTCTTATTCCATATTTTCTCATGCTTGTGAATCATGCAATCCAAAACCTAAGCCTACTCCTCCTCCTACTCCATCAACAACACCTACCACTAGTACTCCACCTCCTTCAACAACAACGCCTACGGCTAGTCCTCCTACTCCTTCAACATCACAAAAATGTCCTAGTGACACTTTAAAGCTAGGTGTTTGTGCTAATCTCCTTGGACTTGTTAATGTTGTGGTTGGAAGTCCTGCTTCAAGCAAGTGTTGTGCATTGATTCAAGGTTTGGCTGATTTGGATGCAGCAATTTGTCTTTGTACTGCAATTAAGGCCAATGTTCTTGGTATCAACTTGAACGTTCCTGTCACACTCAGTCTCCTACTTAGTGCTTGTCAAAAATCCATTCCCTCTGGTTTCCAATGTTCATAGACTTTCACGTTATTAGTTGAAGTCAAACAAGTACTCGTGCTACTACTATTTTCACTGTTGTTTTTACTTTAGTAATTGTTTATGTTAATAATTGGAACCACTATGAGTTTAACTAAATCACGGTAACATCGTGATTATGCTAAATTATCATCAATCCAAATGTACTTTGTGTTATTTCAATAATGGAGTAAGCATGTTTGCTTTATTTACCAACTTTGTTCTATTTAATTTTAATATATTTGGGGAATTATTGTTAATTTGGATTTGTGACAATTAGACCAGAGCACGTAAGCTTCATAGGAATATGTTTAAACTTTATTTGAAATACACATTCATGCAGATGGTATAATGCTTCGCACATCAAAATTGCAGTCACACCATCTTAGCTCTTTTGTTTTGAAACAATGATTAGTATTTCAACTTAATCAAACCAATCTATCTAAATCATGAATTCCGTATTCAAAAGTATAATTAAGTGTGGTTTTTTTTTTTATTGAGTATGAATACAAGAATGCAACGGCACTGGAGGCGAATAGATCTTCTATTGTGAATCAAATGTCTTGAAAAAAAATATAAACGATTTCTTTATAATCAAGAAACACAGAAGGGTTAGGGTTAACAAAGATAACAAGGTAAAACAATAAGAAACAAGAAGGATTGGTTATAAATTGCTATTCTTTTCTTACTCTTATAACAAGATTACAAGTATACAAGAATAACATTTACAACTGACTAACCTGCCTCTAGCAGGTTTCTTGATCAATTCCCAGGTATTGTTATCATGAAGAGATTTCTTCTCATCATCCATGGCCTTTAGTCATTCAGTCTTATTTCGACTCCTCATAACTTCCTTATAGTCTCTAGATTCTTCATCTAGAACCTTACTTGCAGAGATTAAGGCATAAGCTATAAGATCTGCATACCCAAGCCTCTGAGGTAGCTTGATGACTCTCTTCGACCTGTCTCTTGCTAGCAGGTAGTCATTATCAGTCTCCTCATCTTCGACAACATCTTTTGCGTCTTCTTCGACTTCATCTGTGGTACGCAATTCAACATCAACATGCTCCACCTAAACAGGAATTTCTCCATGTTCCAGCTCTTCGTCAGCATCATCATTTTTCTTGAAAGTCATCTCTACTTCATTGAAAACTACACCTCGACTGGTGACACACCTCCTGTTACCTGACTCTAGGCACCATAGTCTATAAGCTTTGACTCCTTCAGGGTATCCTATGAACATGCATTTCAGAGCTCTAGGTTTGACCTTGTCTTGCCTAATATGAGCATAGGCCACACAGCCAAATACTCTCAGTATTTTGAGACTAGGTGGATGTCCCGACCAAACTTCTTCAGGTGTTTTCATTGTCAAGGCAGTCAAGAGACATCTATTTATCAGGTAACCTGCTTTCGAAATAGCTTCCGTCCAAAACACCTTCTTCAATCCAGCACTAACCAACATGCATCTAACTCGTTCAAGGATTGTTCGATTGAATCTCTCAGTTAAACCATTTTATTGAGGAGTACCTGCTACAGTCTTTTGCCTTGCAATCCTAGACTCAACACGGTAACTGTCGAACGCTTCATTGTAGAATTCAAAGTCATTGTCGGTTCTCAACCTCTTAACCTTTCTGCCAGTTTGAGTTTTGACCAGAATCTTCCAACTTTTGAAATTTTGAAAAGTTTCGTTCTTCGTCTTCTGAATGAATACCCATAGCTTTCTGAAATAGTCATCAACGATGGTAGAAAATACCTTGCACCTGAGTGTGAAGGATTCCTTGTAGGCCCCTAAAGATCAGCATGAATTTAATATAGAGATCCATGTGTTCTTTGCTTGCCTTTGTTAAACTCCGTCCTACATGATTTACCAAATACACAAGATTCACAAAACTCTAACTTTTCGACTTTGTCACCTCCTAGCATGTTCTGCTTTCCCAACTCGACCAGGTCTTAGGAAAGGGGACCCCCTCTCAGAATTGCTATTTGTCATTATCATGGAGTATTTACAAAGGATTTTTCAGAAGTTTAGAAGTCTGCCAGACTTTAATTTTCACTTAAAAGTGAAAAGCTTGGCATCATCAACCTGGGGTTTGCCGATGATATCCTCCTCTTTTAAAGGGGTGATCAAAATTCAATGGAGATGTTGATAAAAATCTTTGATGTTTTCTCCAAGTTAACTGGGTTGAAGGTAAACCACACCAAATGTAAGGTGTTTTTTGGAAATGTAGATGATGATGAGAAGCATAGAATTCATGATGCTACCAAGTTCAGTGATAGTTGTTTACCTTTCAAATATATTGGAATTCCTTTAACTAGTAGGAAACTCAACATCATCCACTACATGCCTTTGATAGATAAGGTGATGTAGAGGGTTAGTCATTGGAGTGCCCGTCTGTTATCATATACATGTAGAACTCAATTAATTAATATGTCTTATTTGCCTTAACTATCTATTGGCTCCAATGTCTACCTCTCCCTCAGGCAGTCATTAGGAAAATTGAAGCCCTTTATAGGTCTTTTTATGGACTCGTGCAGATAAAGTGACTAGAAAATCTCCCATTGCTTGGAAAAAAGTCTGTTCTCCCAAGAGAAATGGAGGGCTTAACATTATTAATATTGATCAATGGAACAAAGCTTTCTTGATGAAACTTTTGTGGAACCTTCATGGTAAATCGGATAGCATGTGGATTAAATGGATGCACTGCTACTATGTGAAAGATTATGACATAATGTTAATGGCAGTTAGAAATAACTCATATTGGATAATGAAATCTATTATGAAGTTAAGAGAGATGGTCATTAACAGTTCTGGCTGGATTTCTATGTTGCAGGCTAACAGGTTCCAAACCAAGCTAATGTATGCAGGTTTTGCTGAAGAGTTGCAAGATGTCACCTGGAGAAGATTGTTCTACAAGAATGCTACTAGTCTAGTTTTCTTGTTTTGCTGGACCCTAAGTGGTCGTTTCGTTCTCATTGTTGTTGGTTAATAAAGTGTTTAATTTTTCAAAATAAAAAATATTTATTATAAGAACAATATATATATGTTAACAACCTAGTAATTGGCATGAAACTAGACAAAAACTATACCTCAGCTTATATATTTTAATTTGAACGTAATTGGCTGGGAACTACCTGAAAAATATCCCAATCAGAATTTGTGTCAAATATATGTACCAAAAAACACGTCTGTCAAATATGTATTTTGTCAAAGAAAACAGCTTGTCAATATCTATGTAACAGAAATCCCTTCTCCGTTTTCTAACTCTGACTCCACTTTTTTCTTCTTCAACTTTAAAATAATTTAACTTTTATAACAACTAATTAGGCTGATTTGGATGCAGCAATTTGTCTTTGCACTGCTATTAAGGCTAATGTTCTTGGTATCAACTTGAACGTTCCTGTCACACTCAGTCTTCTACTCAGTGCTTGTGAAAAATCTGTTCCTTCTGGTTTTCAATGCTCTTAGAATTTCATGTTACTACTACTTTCGTTGCGGTTTTTATTTTAGTTATTGTTTATGTTAATAATTGGAATCACTATGACTTTATCAAAATCTCGTTAATATCGTGATTCTGCTAAATTATCATCAATCCAAATGTAACTGTATTAGTTCTTGTGTGAGATGTATGTTATTTCAATAATGGGGTAAGGATGTTTCCCTTATTCACCAACTTTGTTCTTTTAAATTTCAATATATTTTTGCGAGCTTTTATTAATTTTTGCAGTGAATGATTTATTGGATATGTAAAACTGAACTGTATCATTGCTAAACCAGATTCATCCATATTTATAGATTGAAATCTCATGTAAATTTAAATCTTAGTTCTTTATACCTTAAAAAACGAATGAAGCAAAATAAAAATAATTTTATATAGTTGTACAATGATATTGAAAATAATTAAAAATGAAGAAGAATATTAAGTGAAGATAAAGCGATATTTTTTCCATCTTCAAACATGCGTTTTTCTATTTCTTTGGCACTTCTTCCAATTTAAAATCAAATTACTCTCTTCACAACGAGTGAGAACCACCTCAAAGTTGCTTGAACATTTTTTAATGACTCTCTAAATATTGAGAAGTTATCCATGAACACTTCTTTGAAACACTCTATCAAATCAAAAAATATAGCCACCCAACGTTGGAAAGTTGTTGGAGCGTTCCATAGTCCAACTTAGGCTGATTTTTATGGAACTTTGAGGCAGAATTCCTAGAGGCTTCACTAAACTAGAATACACGTGCAGTGTCATTAAAGCACTATCTATTATAATACCACTTAAGAAAAAGTTGTGTGCAGATTTTATGTCTGAGATAGAGTTCAAGACAACTGTGTCACTCTTGTTGAATCGGAATCCTACTTACTATGCAAAGATTCAAGTCGTAGGTTAGCAGCCTCGGATTCGATAGCTTAGAAGAGATGGTAGAGAAAAGAGCTTCTGCTAAGAATGAGGTTTGGAAGAGATTAAATTAAAAAGAGGGTATGCTTAGGTTGAAGGCAAGAGAGACGTGGTTGAAGGAGGGTGATTGTAATTCTAGTTTTTTCCATAGAGTTCTGAAGAATAAAAGGTGTAGGAAAATATGTTAGTTTTGTGAATTCTCTTAGAGGCAGAATAGAGAGTGTCGATGGGGTCAAGGAGGAGGTGAGGAGGTTCTTTGAAGAGAACTTTAGCGATGCTGCCAAAACTCGTCCTTTTTTTGAAAGATTGGATCTGAAGCTGCTATCTGAAGTTGACAAGGAGTGTTTGGATAGTAAAGTCACTGAGCTTGAGGTGGAGGATGCGGTGTGGGGGTGTGCAGGAGGGAAAAGTATAGGCCCTGATAGGTTTACTTTTGCCTTCTTTCAAGCCTGCTGGAGTATTGTTAAGTATGATGTGATCAATTTTGTCTCTGATTTCTGCTGCAAGCCTGTTCTTACTAAGGCAGCAAATGCGTCATTCATAATTTTGGTGGCAAAAACCAACAACCCTCAACAGTTGGTGAACTACCGACCAATTTGCCTGGTGAATTATTTCCAAAAAATTCTCTCTAAAATCTTGGCTAGCCGTCTGAAAAAGGTTGTTGGTAGCTTAGTTTCTATTGAACAGTCTGCTTTTGCACCGGGAAGGTGTATTTATGACGGTGTCGTGGTAGCTAATAAAGTAGTGAATTTAAAAAATTGATTTTGAAAGGGCCTATAACTGTGTTTCTTGGGCATTTTTGAGGTCATTAATGGAGAAGATGAATTTTGGATTGAAGTGGTTAGAATGGTTGGATTCATTGGTTTTCAATGGGTCTATGTCTATACTAGTTAATGGCAGTGCAACTAAAGAGTTTAAGGTGAGCAAAGGCCTTTGTTAAGGAGATCTGTTGTCGGTGTTTCTTTTCATTCTTGTGATGGAGGTTCTTACTCTGTTGGTGAAGAAATTTGTTCAAACTGGTTTGTTTAAAGGTTTTCTAGTGAGCTCTGAAGTTTCTTATAATATAATCAAATCCGGTGGTGACACATTGTTGATTGGAGAAGCTAATTGGAGTAACCACTGGTGTATCAAAGCGGTTCTTCGTGGATTTGAGTTGATAATGGGGCTAAAAGTAAATGTTTTTCAAAAGCTGGATTGGCAGAGTTAATATTTCTGATGACTTATTGGCAGTAGCTTCAGAATTTCTTCATTGTGAAGTGTTCAAGCTACCCTACAAATTCTTAGGGGTAATGATTGGTGACAGTCCAAGGAAGGCTTTCATGTGGAAGAATGTCTTGGACAACATGAGACGTAGGCTTGCAATTTGGAAAGGTAAACACTTTCCTGTTGGTGGGAGAGTTGTAATGATCAACGCAATGTTAAATGTGATGCCTTTGTTTGCTCTATCTTTTTATAGAGCTAATGTCAGCGTTCTGAAATCGTTTTAAAGGATTCAGAGTAATTTTCTGTGGGGTGGTGGAGAAAATTCAAGGAAGATTCACTGGGTTGATTGGAGAACGATTTGCATACCTAAGCACAAAGGTGGCCTTGGCATTAAGGACTTGTCGCTTTTCAATACCTCCCTCTTGGCCAAATGGAAATGGAGATGTCGTCATCCTGAAGGCCTGTTGTGGGAGGACTTATTAGACTTTAGATATGCGAAGAATGGCTTCGGGATGGAAATAACTGGTTTTGATGGGAAGCCAAGTATTAACTCTGAGTCTATTTGGTGGACAAAATTAAAGGGGATTAGTTTTGATAAAGGAAGTGGGATTGATGTTTTTTTTTTAGAATCTTAAGTGCACTTTAGGAAATGGCAGTGGAGTTTCTTTTTGGCATTGCAAGTGGTTGATAGATGTTCCTTTAAAGGTAATGTTCCCAAATCTGTTTCTTTTCTCACTCAACTCAACAGGTTCTGTTATTAGCATGGGCGAGTTGTGTGGCCCTGAGTGGCGTTGGAAGTTTTTGTTCGAAGATTTCTCTAGTGAATCGGTAATGGCAAGAGAGAAGGAGGAATTATTGGACATTCTGTGCTTATTGGAACTGTCAGCAGAAGATGTTGTTGATTCTTATTCCTGGGTTACTTCGTCAGCTTCTAACTCTTCATTGTCTCCATCTTTTTTTGAACTTCTAACATGAGAATGTAGTTTGTTTGTGTTGTATTGGGTTGTGCATTCCTTGTGCAGTCTTTAATGAATCATTGTTTACAGGAAAAAAAATTGTAGACACATTTATTTATGAAAAAATTTAGAAAAGTTTGTCGTTACTTCTGAAACACTTTTTTAAAATCTAGTGAGGGGTTGTTGGAACATATGAATATTCTAAGGAAGATAAATTTGAAAAAAGTTCCTTAAGTTTCACATTGTTAAAAAAAATAAGTGTGTTTATGTGTTAGTTGAAAATATTTCTTAGTCTCAGATTCTTATATTTGATATTTTAGCTAGATTATTTCACCATATAAGAAAATAACTTGTTTTAGTTCAAAACACACATAACTTTGCGTCTTTCTACTCCGTTGATTTTTTTGAGTATATTCTTGAATTCAGTTTAGATAATTAGTTGAATTTCTCATCGTTTGAGTTGAGAAATTATTATAAAAAAAAAATTATTCTCTTAGGAGAATTATTTGAATTTCTTGTTATTTGAGAAATTATTTTGAATGGTCAAACTCTTCAAGAATTATTTGAATTTCTCCTTGGATGATAAACTATTACGGCTTGTCTTTATACCAAATACTAAAAGTGGAATTTATACCATATTTGAATGACCTTTGTACCATCAGAGGGTGACCGATTATCCACCTTACAAGTAGTAATTGTATAATATAGAATTGGGACGTTGTTTTATCTTGGAGACAACACAGTTGAATAACTGCTTTGCATAACTTTAGACAATACCACAAAACGTCTTCAAGAGAGCCTCTTAATCCGCAACTCGATCCAATAATTTTTTCAATGACAATTTTTCAAAATCATAAAACAACACATTTAAATCCAACAATCTCCATCACAAGTGTATAATTCTCACATCCTATGAATTCAGCTTTTGCTCTCCTCATCTAGAGAGAGTTCAAAATGTTTTAGTTTATAGCTTCTCACAAATTATGTCCATATCTTTTTTGTATTTCCTTTTTTTTTATTCAACAATTTATTTTTACTAAAAAAAATTACAATTTGCAAATTATTTTCTAAATATATCCCTATCTTTTTATATTATGAAGATGATCTACTAACTTTCTAAAATTTCATGAATATAACTCAAGAGAAAAATTGATTACAAAAATTTAAAAACTATGGTCTTTTTTCTAAATTTTCTAATTATTATTTCCATATATACTCAATTGCTACCAACAATGTACCTATTGGATTTATCATAAAAAAAGAACATATAGCACATGAAGCTCAAACGTTAACGCTGTCTTGTACAATCCATAACACTTTCCTTGCTCTTTCCTTTCTTACATGCCTTAAATGTAACGCGTTTCTCCAACACGCCATTTTAGATGTTTCTATTTGAATTAAACAACCATATAGACTTTTTTTCTTCTATATATTTCAATCACATTCCATCATCTTCTCTCATTCTTCAACTCTTTCATAATTCTCCTAACTTCATCATTCATCACTATGAGCAACTTTCACAATCAACAACAAACACCTGTATCATATCCACCACCAGGTGAAGCTTATTCTACATCTCAATATGTTACTGCTCCACCACCTATGGGTTACCCTTCCAAAGATGGTTCTGAAGGGTACCCCCAGCAAAGGATTCCTGATCAAACCACAAGTAGGGGTGATGGTTTCTGGAAGGGATGTTGTGCTGCTATATGTTGCTGCTGTGCCATAGATATCTGCTTTTAAGTTCTCATTGAATTATAGATCAGATTGTGCTTGTTTTTTACCGCAAAGTTTTAACTTCTTGCTTCTTATCAATTCTTTGTAGTTTGTATAGAAGAATAAGGTTTTTTAATTTATATCTATTTATTGATCCATTTGAGGGATGTTATATATTTGGAACATTATTGTGTAATAAATTTTTTTAGTAAATTGATGTTGTATTTAAAAAAAAAAAACACAGTTTATTAAATCAATTTTAAAACCGTCTCCATTTATTTATGTATTTTAACATCAATCTTATCTTATCTTAGAGACGCGTTCATATAGAATTCATAATACATTTGAATTTATTGAGTTGGAGTCTTAAAAATTAACTCCGTCTAATGTTAGAATCAAGTGAAGTTGGTGCATTGTTGTCTCATGTGTCACACAAGCATCTCAAGGCCACCTTTTTCTACCTTGCTTGCACATTAAGGGGGAAATTTGCCTCTGCCACCGCTATGTGATGCAGCATCTTCAAACTATTTGTTTTTTTATCCAAGCTGTTTTTTAGGGGAGGCAAGTCGGACTATTGTATAAGATTTGAAATTTGTCATAATTAAACTGTATTTAAATAAGACATCACAAATTTTTGTTGGTTAAAAAATGGTTAAATATGATTTCTGACTGTTTTGTCATTGTTGAACAGTGACTAAACTACATAGAATCTCGACAAACTTAAGAGACTCTGCTACTACTCGTGCTTTGAAGTTTAGCGGAAATATAGTAAAGAACGGTACTTGTCTCCTTTACTATAGTAAGATCGATTATTGAAAGACGAATAGTCCAAAGTATCTGAAAGATTAAAACAAATAGAATAAAAAGTGTTAGAGTGTAATTCAAATTTAGTTAGTTAGGATTAATTTTGTTTTGCATTTAGAGTTAACTTAAATTTTATTTAAGAGACTTTGTTAGTATATAAACTGGGTCTCACTCAGTTGTAACAAAATATCTGGAGTAATCAATTTTTCATCCAAAGTTACCTACATTTTGTCTCTCTCTTTCTCTTCCATCATCTTCTTCATGTTCAACCTTGTGCATCTTCAAAGTTAGTTTTAGTTGTTTTGTGAAAAGTCTCAGTTTTTAATTTTTTTTTTCAAATAATTTGGTCTTTTGATTCTAATCAATGAGTTACAACTAAACCCGTGATTCAAATCATTTCCTTGAAACTTGAGGTATTTCACTTTTAATTCGAATAAAAACGTTTCAATTTTTCCCGTGATTCGAATCATTTTTTCTGAGAATCAAGATTGTTCAATTTGATTCGAATCAAATTTATATATCATATTATAATTTTCTAATGCAATCTGAAAAGTTAAATATTTGATAAGGGATTGAAAAAGCACTCAAACCACATAAGATATTAATAAACTCATCTTTTAAACAAACACTAACAACAACATTTATCAAAAAAAAACATTCATCAACAATAAAGTATAAACAACATGCACGATACGACAAACATATCAAGTCATAGAATGTTTCAGAAATGTACATGTACCATAATGGTGTGTCCACAATGAAAGAAGGATAAAACTGAAGTTAGAGCTGCAAACTTGTGTCTATTTTGAATGGATGTCATTATGGGGCTTTCACACAAGTTTGCAACGCTCACTTTAACTTCTCCCTCGTTATTGAAACAAGCATCCCTACCTACATGTCAAAACAAGCAAAAAGTTCAAACATTGTGAAACAAGCTATTGAAACATAAACAATAATACATAAACAGATTTTGAAACATAAAATATACTGAAGACGAACTTGTAAAATAGTCATTTGCTAAGATTTGATGCAACAAAGATATCCTTCGAAGAAGACAAGTTGGTTGCATAAATTTAAGGTTTCCATATGAGAGAGACGAGTGACAGAGATGTTAGAGTTTTTGTGAGATGTTGGGTCGAACTCTAGTATGGTCGAAGGGTAGCTTCTGGTTCGATAGGAATTAAGCATGAGGTTGAAGTATGTTTGCATGCTGTTGTCAGAGGAAAGCTTGTTGTAGTCGAAGTTTGTTCTAACATGCATTAGTCAATATTGCTAGGGTTGTTAGCATGTTGAATTGGGTCTTACTTGTAAGCTCAATTGTTTAAATTAGCTTGTACCCTAAGTTAGCTTGTAATGGATAATTATTAAAAAGCTCATTAGGTTAGTATGTTATTTTTTCTTATAAATAGAATGTTAGTTTCTCAATCTTAGGATAAGGAAAAATAGAAAGATAAAATCCTAAGTTGAATAGAGAGAGAGAGAGAGAGAGAGAGAGAGAGGTTATTTTGTTATTCTTGTATACTTGTAATCTTGTTCAAAGAGTAAGGAAAGAATAGCAGTTTATAATCAATCCTTGTTGTTCCTTATTGTTTTACCTTGTTATCTTTGTTAACCCTAACCCTTGTGTATTTCTTAATCATAAAGAAATCGTTTATACTTTGTTTCAAGATATTCGATTCACAACAAATTGGTACGGTGAGCGTGGAAAAGATGCCTTCAACAAAGTATGAGATTGAAAATTTCACCAGAGTGAACGACTTCGGTCTGTGGCACTTGAAGATGAAAGCCCTACTAGTTCAGCAGATTTGTTTGGAAGCGTCGAAGGGAGAGGCAACCATAGACGTTGCGTTAACGGAAAAAGAAAATACATGCATGATTAAGAAAGCCCACATCGCAATATTGTTGAGCCTTGGTGATAAGGTTCTTCGACAAGTATTAAAGGAGACTACAGCATCGAGATTATAGGTGAAACTTGAAAGTTTGTACATGACCAAATCTCTGGTGAATCGACTCTACCTGAAGCAAGCTTTCTATTCATTCAAGATGAGTGAAGACAAAGTGTTGGCTGAGCAGTTGGATATGTTCAACAAGTTGATTCTTGATCTTAAAATTATTGATGTGAAGATCGATGATGAAGATCAAGCATTGTTGATGCTGTGTGTTTTGCCCAGAACACATGCTCACTTCAAAGAAACTCTCTTGTATGGAAGGAAGTCCTTGACCTTTCAAGAAGTTTAATCAGCCTTGTGTTCTAAGGACTTGAATGAACGAAAGGAGCATAAACCTTCGACAGTGGCCGAAGGTTTGGCCGTTAAGGAAAAATTCTTCCGAAAGGATGGTAAGTTCGACAAGAAAAAAGGTAAAAGTCAACAGAAATCTTATAATGGCGAAACATCTGGTATTCGATGTTATCATTGTAAGAAGGAGGGTCACACAAGAAAGGTGTGCCCTGAACGCCTGAAAGATCATGGAGGTAATGGCAACACAGGCATTGTTCAAGATGACTTCAACTCATCTGATAATCTTGTGGTTTCAAGTGCCGACTCGAGAAAAGAGTGGATTATGGATTCAGGTTGTACTTGACACATGACTCCAAACAAAGAATTGTTCGAGGAGTTATGTGATCAAGATGGTGGATCTGTGCTACTGGGAAACAACAAATCTTGAAAAATTGCAGGTATTGGATCTGTAAGATTCAAGCTCCATGATGAGTCAATAAGGTTATTGAATGAAGTTATGTATGTACCTGACTTGAAGAGAAATTTGATTTCTCTTGGTGAATTCAACAGAAAGGGATATGTTTTTCAAGGAGAGAAAAGTATCCTAAGAGTCATGAAGGGGTCGAAGGAAGTCTTGAGAGGTGTGAAGAAACAAGGCTTGTATACCCTTGAGCTTGAGGTTGTAAGTGGTTCAAAAAATATTGAATCCACGAAACCTGTGTCGAAGATAGAATTATGGCACATGAGATTGGACCATGTCAGCAAAAGAGGCCTGGTCGAATTGGGGAAGCAGAACCTGCTAGGAGGTGACAAAGTTGAAAAGTTAGAGTTTTGTGAATCTTGTGTATTTGGTAAACCCTGTAGGGAGAAGTTTAATAAAGGCAAGCAAAGAACACATGGATCCCTATATTACATGCATGCTGATCTTTAGGGGCCTGCAAGAATCCTTCACACTCAGGTGCAAGGTATTTTATATCCATCATTGATGACTATTCCAGAAAGCTATGGGTATTCATTCAGAAGACGAAGGATGAAACTTTTGAGAATTTCAAAAGTTGGAAGATTTTGGTCGAAACTCAAACTGGCAGAAAGGTTAAGAGGTTGAGAACCGACAATGGCCTTGAATTCTACAATGAAGATTTCGGCAGTTACTGTGTTGAGTCTGGGATTGCAAGGCATAGGACTGTAGCAGGTACTCCTCAATAAAATGGCTTAGCTGAGAGATTCAATCGAACAATCTTTGAAAGGGTTAGATGCATGTTGGTTAGTGTTGGATTGAAGAAGATGTTTTGGGCGGAAGCTGTTTCGACAGTAGCTTACCTGATAAATAGATGTCCCTCGATTACCTTGGGAATGAAGACACCTAAAGAAGTTTGGTCGGGATGTCCACCTTGTCTCGACAGACTGAGAGTATTTGGCTGTGTGGCCTATGCTCATATTAGGCAAGACAAGGTCGAACCTAGAGCTCTGAAATGCATGTTCATGGGATACGCTGAAGGAGTCAAAGTTTATAGGCTGTGGTGCCTAGAGCAAGGTCACAAGAGGTATGTCACCGGTCGAGATGTAGTTTTCAATGAAACGGAGATGGCTTTTAAGAAAACTGATGACGTTGAAGAAGAGCTGGAACAGGGAGAGATTCCTGTTGAGGTGGAGCATGTTGATGTTGAATTGCGTAGCCTAGATGAAGTCGAAGAAGACGCAGAAGATGTTGTCGAAGATGATGAGACTAATAATAACTACCTGCTAGCAAGAGACAGGTCGAGGAGAGTCATCAAGCCACCTCGGAGACTTGGGTATGCAGATCTTATAGCTTATGCCTTAATCTCTGTAAGTGAGGTTCTAGACGAAGAACCTAGAGACTAGAAGGAAGTCATTAGGATCCGAAAGAAAACTGGATGGCTGAAGGCTATGGATAATGAGACGAAATATTTTCATGATAACAACACCTGAGAACTGATCAGGAAACCTGCTGGAGCCAGGTTAGTCAGTTGTAAATGGATTTTC